GTTCCTTCAAGACTAGCCCTTTTTAGGTGATCATCGCGCCAATAGTATCTGACGCAACCTGATCAACCCTGTTCATGGTATTCTGTTTAGTCAACGAAACATCTCGTCAGCATATATAGGAGCCGTTTGTGAAATGACAGTATGTTCCGCAGGTTTAATTCACACGACATTCGCTAAAATGTTTTCATTGTTAAGTATTATAGTCAATAATTCAACTAATTATCGTCTAACAACTTTATAAATTGATAAGGGCTCATGATCGCCCTGCATCACATGCCAAAGATACATCACTATGACCTGTTGACGACGCGACGAAGAGTTGTGACAATAGCATAATGAGCTGTCGACTTGGTGTCGCGACGCTTTGACGCTTTCAAAGATGTGAGCGTCTTTGTAGGCGACCCACCATACATCCCACTTTATATAAACACGAGAATTTCTTGAGGTTACACTCCAAGCGAGTGCCCATACAGGAATTTGAAGAAGCAAGTACAGACAAGTGGCATGGATTCAACCACTTTTATTACAATGATTTTTCATCTTCGCAAATTTTAGAAAAAAAACATTCGTTTTATTTAAAGGATGGTGCAACACGGTCAAATTGCTACCCGAGGAATTCCGTGTTACGACAAATCAAAATCTAAAAAGGTTCTAAAGCGGGTTACTTAAAACAATCGTGTGGCTGAGATGTGGCCATAGTGCATGTGCAACGGAGCACCCTTAGCTTGGGTGCCACGAAACTTCACGTATACTCGTACGTGCACAGGACGATACATCCACTTAGCCCACTTGTCTCAGTAAAGGTAAAAAGATAACTAACTTAATGTAGTTAAGCTAACCATGTAACTTCAGTCTTATCTAACTAAATTAATCTACAATGTCTTATGACGACAACTTGCTCACCACCCATTCCGCGCCTCTAGCTGCAATACGCGGTAACCTTGGTCGATATCTCTTTTATCAGCCAATCTGCAAGCAGCACATGAACATTATCCTGGAGATGATATTCCTTCGATATTACCTATCTAGGGTAATATCGGCAAAAGCTTGTCAAGCTAGACAATCTTCCTTTCGACGCCGTTTGGTGTCAATATCACGTAACAAGGTACGCCCGTTACATGCTCCCTCTCCCTTAACCATGAATCCCCAAGAGTTCATCAAATTGATTGGGGACAGGGTGATCACCGTTGGATCACGCTAGGAAAAGGGAGCACTTATTGGTCAATACTAACTCATTTGCCAACTACTCGCGTGGAGTCAAATTCCAAACGGTGTGCTGCCGAAGCAGCAAGAAAAGCGGTTGCACGCATGCGTGCAGCCAAAGAGATTTTTTTTTGCTTCAGCAGCAGGTGATCCTTCGCCTGCTGTTGCACTTTAGCTACAGGCGGTGCCCGTTGTGAACAGTCCACGTGGTGAGTCACCACATGCGACAGATACATCCGCTGCGTCTGCAGCGGGTATTGCGAATCGCAACGTAGACGAGCCTTAAATTGAGCTCATCTATTTTGGCGAGTCGGATGATGCGTCCGACTCGAAGGCGGCTCCTCCTGTCTCCGGATCATATGAAGCGGACACTTCCAGAACCAGGTTAACTAGCTCTGGGTAACTTGGGGCTATCATATCCAAGATTTTTAGACCGAGCAATTCTTCTGACAAATCTTCATCTCATGCAAGTCGTTGTGACACTAGGACGCGTGTTGATGGCGGTGACGCAACTATGCGTCGCCACGAGAAAAGAAAATCGACATCTCGAGCTGCTTCTGGCGTCAGTGCTTATGCTAACACCACGCAAGAGGCCAGGGACCGAAAAGTCCTGCGCCACGCTCCTCAAGTGGAGTCTCCTTGAATGCCGCCATCCAAAGAGTTGTACCATTTGGCCGGCATGAATACCAAACCGGATCGACCCGTTGTGTGACTGTAGGAAGATCTGCCCTCCTAACTCCAGCACAGAAAACTATCTGTGCTGAGGAAGAATTATCTGCCGATGTGCTTTTCAAACATCGGTGGTACATTGGAAACCGTGTCCGCGACGGCAAAGCCTTGGTACAGGGATGGAATGCCTTCATCCATAACATCGAGTGCATTGGCCGTGAGGCCTGGCTCGGTAAACTTGATGCAGCTCGCATCAGGTTTGGAAAACGTACCTCAGCGGATGAACGTTTCACCGACTATCAAGAGGGGCAGGATTGTCCTGTCTCTCGTGGGCTATTCATGTCTAGGGTGCCTGAAAAATGCTAATCGTGTCCCTAGGGAGGCCTCCCTCCCTGATGTTCTTTACTGGACGGCGCGCATCTCTTCTGAGATGGCCAAAGGGATTGACACTTTGCGATCCCTGTACTCGCGTTCGGAGAGGTCGTTTCCGACGGCCCTTCTTCAAACGCAGCTGTTGGGTCTCGTCATATTTCTCTACGCGACCCGGAACATCAACAATCATCCGGGCACGAGGCTTCCAGCTGTCCCAGGCCGGTGGATAGCCGCGCCAGCGGACGAGGTAACTCGTCCGGACGCCATTCACGTCGCGATGGTTTCAGATACGCTCCACCAGAAAGCGTTGACCACCGCCAGAGTATACCAAAGGATTTGGTGGTGGTAGGAACACCTGATCCGGCTCGAGGGTCGAATTAGCTTGATGTTCAGGAGTTGGACCGTGTAATGAATTAGTTACACGATAACCTGGAACATGAAAGGACTCTGTGTTACGAGCTCCATGATCTTGTACAGGATAATCACAATTCCTTAGCGCACGATCTTTCGGATGATCGTGCCGCTTTTACGTTCGCGCAGCTTGGGAACGAACGTTCGACTCGTTCTCTTCGTGATGAGCTGGCTGCTGCTCGTCGAGACATCGCTGAGCTGCGTGAACAGGTCGCTTCGCTAGTCGACCAGACTGGCTCGTTGAAACGGGACCACTTGAGGGTGGTCTCGGCTCTCGACCGTGGAGTTGTTCTTCGCATCTCGAAACGGGCTCGTACTGATCAGCACGGGCGGAGACGACAGACGTAAAACGTAGGATGCGTACGCATCTTACGGGGCAGTTCAATCGTGTATTCGTTGCCCATTCGGCGCAATACACGAAATGGACCGATGTACCTGGGCAATAATTTACTGCTGCCCACGTTTGTCACTGCGTACTTCGGTAAGTTTACTGTAGACAGTAAAACTAGGTCTCCTATATCAAGTGGAAGAACATTTGCTCTGCCATGTTTGTCTGCGTTTCTCTTCTGTCTGTCCAGTGCATCTGCAATAGAGTCTTGAACAAAGCGGACAACCTCTTCGCGTGTCAGCAGAAATTCCTCTGCTGATTCATCCTTGTTAACAGCAGTACGCTTCGTGGGCACTGCTGAAAAAGGTTGTCTTCACCAGTGAGGGCGTCATCGTTCTCACTTTAGCAGTCATTGGCGATGCTGAATATACCAGAATCGTCGTCGTCATCATCATCGATGTCGATCGCATCGACATCGGCATCCATCACGTTGACACCATTGTCGACGGGTGCTGAGCAAGAAACATATTGGTTTTGTTCGAGCGAGTCCACCCCCCCTATTAAACTAGAGTCCACTCTAAGAAGGCGGGTAAACGTGGATGACGTAGGCCATTCACAAAGAACTGTTTATGCGTTGTCGACGCATGCGCCGAGTTGTTGATGGCGAATTACGTCATCGTCAAGAATCCAATCTAACTTGTAAACGAGCGGACATACCCTCGAAGTCTTTATTCGAGGACACGGTTGACGCGTTCCGTCTGACCATCTTTTTATGGATGGTCAGAAGTTGACATCTTCAAACGCGTTCCGAGTGAACAGAACACGGATTGCCAGAACTCTGCTGTAAAGCGGGGGTCCCTACCGGACACGAGTTCACAGGGTAACTCGTGAAGTCGGAAGATAGTACCGATGAAGACACTAGCACAGCCCTGGGCTGTGATTGACTCCGGTACAGCAAAAAGATGTACCATCTTGATGAAACGATCAACAAACACAAGAATACCAGTATTCTTGTGAGCGTCTTCGGGAAACCCAAAGACGAAGTCCATCGATACGGACTGCCACACTCTGCCGGAATCGGAAGAGGCTGCAAGGGTGCGCGGGATGAAGAACTAGGCTTTAACCGTTGGCTATAGTATGAGTTTGCTTACAAACTCATACTGGCGAGGCCAGTAGAAGTTACGACTTGCCATGAGGTAATTCTTTTCTCTACTGCGATGTCCACTTGTGGGGCATCGTAACACTCATACATAATGCGCAATCGCAAATCATTGTGAGCCAAAACGACGACACGGGGTATGTCGCCGTCGACTGCTGTATAGCACAGCAGACCATCACGAACCGAATACCGTTCGCTTGAAGAGCGGTATTAAGACGACAAGCTTTTCAAAGCTTAATTACAAGGATTGGATACGTATTTTATCAATCGTAGAAGAGAATCATCTTTTGCGTATGCTCTTTGCGCGTCGCCGAGTAAATTTGATGACGGAACACTCACTGTTAGTGTCGCGACAGTGGGATCATCCCTACTGTAGGGTTGCGCAGACGGCTCGAAATTAGGCCGACGCGAAAGAGCATCAGCGATGACATTAAGTCGTCACGGTTTATACGCGACAAAGAAGTTGTACTCCGCGAAGAAAGGCAGCCACCCCTCCATTCTGTGCGAAGGTGTGGACTGTTTACGGTTGTGCGTAACGACGCATGGTCGGTGTAAACGATGAAGGGCCTATCTCCTTAGAGAAGTACCAAAACTTGTCCAGTGCATATTTCATGGCAAGAATTTCCTAGTCATGCACCGAATAATTTCGCTCAGCTGCTTGCAGCTGACGCAATTGATAACAGACGACGCGCTCAACGCCGTCTGAGTCGTACTGCATTAACGCGCAGCCGATTGCAAAATCGCTGGCGTCACAGACCACGTGGAACGGTCTGTCCTGGTCTGCATTGCGAGCACAGGCGATTGTATCAAGCTTTTATTGATGCGTTCAAAAGAGTGCTGACACTCAGCACTCCATGATCACCGCTCGTTTTTCTTTAGTGGACGAGAGAGATAAACGGTCATCTTGGCGTAGTTGTGCAAGTACGCCGCCAAGCCAAGGAAATTTCGAAGTCTCTTGGCGTCGCCTGGCACAGGCCATTCGCTAATCGCCTTGATCTTTTCCACATCAGGGCGTACGCCGTTTGTACCCACGATGTAGCCAAGTAGTGGTATTTCGTTCGCTGCAAATATACACTTCTTGAGGTTCGCTAACAACTTATGCTCTCGCACTAGAATAAGAACCTTCCGGACGTGGATTGTATTAGCCTCCACATCCGTCTTTCCATCCATATCCCGGCTATGGACGAAGGCATCGTCGAAGTAACTCGGTGCGAAATCGCGCACCGATAACAACAGATTTGTAACACATCTGATGAACGTTGCGGGGGCGATACTTAGACCCTGTGGCATCACTAGCGACTCCCAGAGCCTACAACTGGGGGTGCTCACTGCTGTGTACGGGATGTCCCGTTCACGCATGAGGATCTCATAGAATCCATCCATCAGATCCATGGACGAAAAGATGGTGCTTTTGCCATACCATCTATGATGACGTCCTTTCTTGTGATAGGCGTCTTAGCAGGTACCGTTGCAGTCGTTAATTTGCTGAACGCGTGCACTATCCACCACTCTCCTGTGGCCTTTCACACACAGAAGGTCGGAGAGCTGTGTGAGGATGTTGATGATTTGACATGACCAGACGCTAAACGATCGGCAACTAATTTTGCGATCGCTATGACCTGTTCACGAGGCAGTGGCAAATGCTTCATGACACAGTATTTCGAACCGGGTTTCAGTTCAATCTCATGCCGAGTGCCTTTGTCCTTAGGCAGCTCGCATGGCACGGATTCCGTGAAAACATTCCTGAATTCGACCAAATTCGCATACAAAGGATTTGTCTTCAAAGAATCCCAAGACTGAGACGTGTACCACTCAATCCGAGTCTTCTCACCGAAGATAATTTCGTCCATCGATGATCTATTGAGACCCGTTCGTTCTCAGTAAACGCTTTTGCCGACCTATCTCGGCGACTTACTCGTCCTCTTTGACGAGTACGCAGATCTGCTTAATCTTGTCACTACGCAGATCTCGCAAGATTTTTTTAAATTCTAGCGTTGGCAACTTGAGTACCTCCAAAGCTGACTTCAGAGGTGTGACCAGATCAATTGTATAAGCGCCTACACTTGGTTCGTCATTCACCAAGACATTCACTGTCTCGGTGATTTCCTGGGAAACAAATCCGCAGGTGGTTGGGGATCCACAACCACAACATAACTCTCTCGGGAGTTATCACTCTCAGGAACGCTGGAACTCTCTTCCAATACGTGCACAGACTGTGGGTGTACTACCACAGTCACGTCCTCTTCGATCGACTCTCTTTCCGTCGATCAGATTTGCTTTACGACCGAATCTCTGTTAGAAAATCTCGCTTTAACGTGTTGTTCATAAAAAACAACACTTATCTCTCTCCCTGGATGCACCCGTCTTGGTGCGCATCCGTGTTTCAGTTAGCTCGATACCTTGGAGTGGTGAACCTTCGGCGCAGCCTGGGTCTCTACCCATGCGACGAAGCTGGTTCCACAGTGTAGTGGCCTTCTACACTGTGATTTTGTGCAATCGTACTAACGACCGTACCACAAGTGAGGCCATCGCACTCACTCGTAGTACATCCACACGCTTGTGGACGCTCCAAGACGTTCATCAGATGGCCATCTGATGAACAAACGGCAGGCATCGTTACTGTTCGATGTTGCCAGTTTACCCGTGGTTCGTACCTTCTGAGCCACGGTATTCCAAGGATGACATCAAATTTGTCATCCAAATCCAATACGATAAATTCATTATCGTATTACTTTTCTTCTAGCGTGTAGTGGATTCCCACTACACTTTTGTTCACTGTTACGGATGCGCCTGTTGCAAGGTACACCGACATCCTCGTTGGAGGGAACTCTCGCTCAACATTGTTGAGTCTACTATCCCTTAGCGAATGGCTCTCAATATAACTGTTCGACGCACCACAGTCAACTAGGGCGCGAAGTGACATTCCACTTGTCACTTCGATCTTCAAAGTGATGAGAGACTCCTCATCACTAGGGGCAGTACAGAGACTGCGTGTTGGGAGAAATCTTCGTCGAGAGTCCTGCAAATTCTCTTGGCGTTGCTGGATCAGCAGGGTGCTCCGCCCCTACTGACCTTGACCGTTTGGTGTCGGTCCGACTTGCTGTCGCGGCTTGGCGACATGGTCGGACCCGAGCCTCACACCCTTCCTTGGCCAACGGCGGTCATCACGTCCTGTTTTCGGACGTGTCGCAGTGCTCGGGACACTACACTCATGAGCGTAGTGTCAAATCTTCTGACAGCGATGGCATCTTTCTGTTCGCTTGTGACTCAGAGAGCGAGAGTTCCCGCTCTCGACGTGTCAGAGGTCCATTGGTTCGGGACCTCCTGTTTCCTGTTGTCTCGTCGGACGATAGTTTGACGAGTCATCCGGAGACTGTCTCAGCCTGAAGTCTTCTTGTTCCGCATACGCTATCGCCCTTTCCAACGTATGGAAGTCCTCTTGGAACGTGTAGGTCTTCACCGGCCCATCCACAAGGCCGTTGATGAACACGTTGATGAGCGTATGCTCATCAACAGAATTCTCCGTAACGCTACTTGCAAGGTAGCGCAGGTGCTGTACTTAAGCGAGCACGTCACGCTTACATTGCTTTAGCCTCAAGAGTGTAGATCGTGCTCTGGTCTCGGCTCTCGGCGGCTCAAACGTCTCTTTAAGCCGAGACTTCAAGATATCCAACGACTCAAACGCGTTTGGTTCGTGAAGCTTGAGTCCTAAGGCCCAAGTCTTTGCTCGTCTCGTCAATTTGACAGGACAAAGGTGACTTGCAACTCGTCACCCTCAATGTGACGGGCCCTGATGGCGTCGTCTTACTCGACAAACCATCTCAAAAGGGAATCTTCATCGGTTCCCTTGTACCTTGAGACTTTAATCTTTCAGGTTTCAAGTTGACGCGTGTGCTTCGGCCCGCCCATCGACTGATGAGAGCCTTGCTGCTGTAGCAAGGCTATCTTCTATCGTTCGACGGCAAGTTCCCCTAGTAGGAACTTGTTGATAGCAGCATGTTGCTGGTCTCTGCTTAGAGCCTCCAACACATTACTGATGGCGCGTTTGCCCATGGGCACACTCATGCGGCCGACTACCTCCCATTCTGAGTCACTCAGGTGGGAGTAGCCTTCACGTGTGAAGTGAAAGCTGTCGTCTTCTACGTCCAATATGTTCATGTTGGCAGGACACTAAGAAGTCGTTGGACAGATTACAAAGTGCTACCAGGTGTAACGGGCACCCTTTGTTTGGGGTGCCGCGAAAATTCACGTACACTAGTACTATAACGGGGCACCCTGAAGCTTGTACTGGTGATAGTACAAGCTACTTATTCTGATGACAGAATAAGGCGGTGCCTCGGAACTTCACGTTCGCTCGTACGTACAGAGGAAGACGGTAGGAAGAAGCGAGTACTTGGTTAAAGTAAAAAGTAGAACTGTATTTATCATAGTTAATGTCTGTTAATCAATCACTATTTATCCTCATCGAACTATGTCTGAATACAAGTGTGCACATCAACTATCTGCTCACCACTCATTGCGTGCGTCTGTCGTGGCGCGTCTTCGTTGGTTGATACAATGGCCTCTATCAACCAATTAGGAACTACTCGTAAGTGCTCCAGAATACTTTGTCTTTATGACAATATTCTGAGAATGTAACTCTTATAGTTATATTCTATTAACAATTTCTTTTAGATTGTTAAATAACGATTCACCCTGTTACATCACCCCCCCTTAGCCGTCAGTCACTTTAGTGACTGATTGACTGATTGGATACTCGTCCCGAATCATTTGGGACAGGGTTTGCACTTGTTGGTCCGAGTCCACTTTCTAACAATTCATCGCATGGTTAACAAGCCCATGCGATGCGCGAGCAAAGCCGCCGAGAGCGCGTTCGCACGTCTCTGTGAGGACGCCGAAGCAGAAACCACAGCAACTGATGTCTCATCGGTTGCTGAAGCGACTCAGCCTGTGTCACTTGGTGATGCAGGCGCTCGTCATGAAGACACTCATGTCTTCACAGAGTATGAGCTCGGTGTCTCATGCTCTCCTGATACGGAAGACGGATCCGTATCGACGGAGATCGAAACCAAGCCGCCTGCCAGGCGTGGCATGGATGATGCTATGCGTCGCAGCATCTTTGGTTCATCTGATGAATCAGATGAACCATCGCCGAAGCGAAGGCGCTCGAGGTCGCGAGACTCGGGCGCTAACAGTGGTGTCAGTTCTCCTATGGACACCACTTCGCAACGAGGTGCCAGTCCTTCTGTCGGCACGTCGCAAGAAGAGCGGGACCGCAATGTCTTGCGTCTCGCTCCTGAGAAGAAGGCATGGCTGCCTCCTAAATCTTTCATGGATCACTTGTCGGCGACGACGAGTGATCTTTATCAAATACGGTTGTTCGATTCGTCAAGGATTTATCACCTTGACCCCAGTGCGAAAAACTATCGCGCTGAGATTGAATTCTTCATCGATGCTTTCTTTAGACATCAATGGTACAGTGGGAATCACAAACGTGATGGTCCCTCACTACACTAAGCGTGGAACGCCTACATCCATAACCTTGAGGATGTAGGTCGTGACGTTTGGAACGACAAACTTATCAAAGCTCGTGATAAGTTTGAAAAGAGAACCCCGACAGGTGCACGCTACAAGCTGCATCGTCTGTCAAGGGAGAAAGGATTACCCTGCCTCTCCTGGGGAGACTCGTGCCCATGTTGTGTGAACAACTCTGCACGAGCACCTAAGGAGGCTTACCTCCCTAATAGCCCGTGGTGGCGCGTACGTATCTCTACTGAGATGTACGAAGGGATCGACAACCTGAAATCCCTTTACGACCGTCCTGGAAGACTTTCTCCGGCGGTCCTTCTGCGGCACCGGATGTGCCGCTCGTACTGCTCAACCAGACCCATTACGTCAACCTTCAATTGGGAGCGGGGCTCCCAAGTATCCCAGGACGGGGGATAGCCGCGCCACCGGACGAGATAACTCGTACGACGTCCGTTCACGTCGCGGTGGTTCAGCAGCTGCTCAACCAGATAGCGCTGGCCACCGCGAGAGTCCTCTAATGGAGGTCGAGGAGGAGGGAAGACGCTCTCCACACAATCGTGGGGAAGCGTGTGTTCCCGAGAGCTTCTTTGATCGCGTAACGCAAGGGTTACGCTACGATCTCGAACATGAGCGGGACAGGCGTCTCCAACGAGCTGAGTTTGCCTTTGCTCAGCTTGGGAACGAGAGATCTATGACATCTCTTCGTGACGAGCTAAGGGTAGCTCGTGGAATTGTTGATCGGTCTCGGGATGAGATAAATGCTCTTCAGGTCCTTGTCGATGCCCACCATCGGGAGCACAAGGCTCTCTGTGAGATGCTTGAGCACAAGGGCGTTCTTCATCGGAAGAAACAGCGTACTGATGGTACGGCTTAAGCCGACCAGCGTAAAACATGCAATGCGTTCGCGTCTTACGTGGCAACTCGATCGTGTATGCGTTTCCTAGGCGGTGCAATACACGAAATGGGCCGATGTACTTGGGTAGTAGTTTACTGCTACCCAAGTTAGTCACAACATGATTTGGTAGATTAACCGTAGACAGTAGGACCAAGTCACCTTGATTAAATAAAAGAGTGTTTGCCCTTCCATTCTTGCCAGCATTTTGCTTTTGCTTATCCACCGCTTCGGCGATGGGGTGCACAAAACGGACTACCGTTTCACGAGCCAGTATGAACTCATCTGATGACTCGTTAGCTTCAGTGCGCTGTGAGTGTACTGCAGCAACATCAGTCTTTTCTTCAGTGAGGGCTTCCGCACTCTCACTGGCATCATCTTCTTCGATATCGATGTTATCGATATCGGCATCAAACGCAATGACCTCTTCGCCAGAGCGTGATGAGCGTGAACCAAATCGGTTTTTGCTCGCGCGAGTCTCTCCCCTCCTTAAACCAGAGTTACACTCTAGTAAGGTGGGTACACCCGGGTGGCGTAAGCCATTCACGTAAAACGGTGTATGTGTCGTGGACGCATGCACCGAGTTGTTAATGGCAAACTCTACCATAGGCAAGAACTCACTCCAATCCTTAAAGGAGTGTACGTATCCTCGAAGTATCTCTTCGAGGACACGATTGGCACGTTCCGTCTGACCATCTGACTCTGGATGATCATATGTCGACATCTTCAAGCGCGTTCCGAATGATTTGAGCACGGAACGCCAGAAATCAGCAGTGAATCGTGGATCTCTGTCTGATACGAGTTCACGGGGCAACCCATGAAGTCAGAAGATGGTGTCGATAAAGACACAAGCACAGCCACTTGCCGTGATTGACTCTGGTACAGCCACAAGGTGTACCATTTTGTTGAATCTGTCAGCAAAAACGAGATTACCCGTATTCCCGCGTGCGTCTTTGGGTAACCCGAAGACGAAATCCGTTGAAATGGATTCCCAGCACTCAGCCGGAACCGGTAGAGGCTGCAAAGGTGCACGCAGTGAAGGACTTGACTTCACTCGTTGAAAGACTTTGCATGCGCGAACATACTTTCGCACAAACTGATACTGGCGGGGCCAGTAAAAGTCTCGACTCACCGTGATATATGTTTTCTCACGGCCACGATGTCCTCCTATAAGAGCATCGTGATACTCGAACATGATCCGCAAACGCAGATCAGTATCATCTGGAATGACAACACGTGGTGCGTCACCAGAAACGGCTGTATCATACAGTAAACCGTTTCGAGTAGTGTATCGATCTGATGCAGATCGATACGCAGACGGCAATCGCTTTAACGATTCTCGAGATGGTTGTGAGAGATGTGTCAACAACTTCACAATCTCACCATCTTGGGCGTATGACCGCCTCACATCATCATACAACGTTATAGATGGGACTGAGGACGTCATAACCGCAACAGTGACTGTCTCACTGTTGGGTTTCACGACTGGTTCAAAGTCGGGACGACGTGAGAGTGCATCAGCGACGACATTAATTCGTCCTGGTTTGTACTCGACCGTAAAGTTGTATTCTGAAAAGAATGACAACCACCGCGCCATTCATTGTGAAAGGTGCGGGCTGTTCACTGCCGTGCGTAATGACGCATGGTCAGTGTAAACAATGAAAGGTCTATCTCCTAATAGATAGACTCTGAACTTCGCGAGTGCATACATCATGGCAAGGAGTTCCTTGTCATGCACCGGATAGTTCCGCTCAGCTGGTTGCAGCTGACGCGACTGATATCAGAAGACGCGTTCAACGCCCTCAAGATCGTACTGCATTAATGCGCAGCCGATTGCGAAATCGCTGGCATCACAGACCACATGAAATGGCCTGTCCTGATCGGCAATTGCTAGGACTGGGGATTGTATCAAGATCTGCTTGATACCATCAAAGGAGCGCTGACATTCAGCGTTCCATAACCACCTCTCGTTCTTTTTCAACAAACGAGAGAGGTGCACAGTCATCTCGGCGTAATTGCGTGAATACTTATGCAAATACGCCGCTAGCCCAAGGAATTTTCGAAGACCTTTGACATCAACCGGCACAGGCCAGTCGGTGATCGCCTTGATCTTTTCGGGATCAGGACGTACACCGTTCTTACCAACGATGCACCCAAGAAGTGGTATTTCGCTTGCTGCAAATATACACTTCTTGAGGTTTGCATACAATTGATGCTTTCGCATGATTGTAAGAACCTGTCGGACGTGGTACCTGTGAACCTCAACATCCGACTTTCCATCCATAGCCCGACTATGGATGAATACGTCATCGAAATAACTCGGCGCGAATTCTCGTACTGGTCTCAACAGATGTGTATCACATCTGTTGAACGTGGCAGGGGCATTACTAAGCCCTTGTGGCATTACTAGCCATTCCCAGAGCATGCCGCTAGGCGTGCTAACTGCGGAATGGGGTATATCCGTTCTCGCATAAGGATTTGATAGAAGCCATCCATCAAATCCATGGACGAAAAGATGGCACTCTTTGACATACCATCAATGATTACGTCCTTCCTCGGTATCGGCGTCTGAGCCGGTACCGTTGCAGCATTCAACTTGTTAAATGCATGCACTATCCGCCACCCTCCTGTTGCTTTTCGCACACAGAAGGTCGGAGAACGATGTGGGGAAGTTGATTCCCTCACATAGCCCGCAGCTAAACGATCGGCAAAGAACTTGTCGATCGCAAGTACTTGTTCATGAGGCAGTGGCCACTGCTTCATGACACAGTACTTCGAGCCTGGTTTAAGCTCGACCTCGTGTCGAATACCTTTATCCTTCGGTAATTCGCACGGAACAGTTTCAGGGAATACATCCTTGAATTCAACCAAATCTTCATAGAGAGGATTTTTCTTGAGCGATTCCCATGATTGGGAGTCATATCGCTCAATTCGTGTCTTTTCATCGAGGACACTCTCGTCCATAGATGAACTACTGAGAAATCTCTCGTTCTCAGTAAACATTGTTGCTGACCTTATGTCGGCTACACACTCGTCGTCAGTGACGAGTACGCAGATCTGCTTAACTTTGCCACTACGCAGATCACGCAAGAACCTTTTATGTTCGAGCGTTGGCAACTGAGTGATCTCCGAAGTCAACTTCGGAGGCGCAATCAGATCAAGTGTATAAGCGCCTACACTTGATCCGTCATTGACTAGGACATTCAATGTCTCTGTCATTTCCTGGGGACTTATTCCCTCAGGCCTCGAAGGACTTATTCCTTCGGCTTCCCGGGGACTTCTTCCCACGGGTTTCGGGGAACTTATTTCCGCCGTATTTGTAATATCGGGACTTATTCCCTTAACTTCCTCTAGCTGTGGTTGCGCAACCACAGCTAGATCCTGTACGAAAGACTCTCCAGTCGATCTAGGATTATCGTTTCGCTTAACCTGAGCGATCGATGGTTTCTCTTCTAGATGTTCCCCGCTAGGGATACATCTTTGTCCCGGTCCACTCGACTTATTCGAGTGGTGGACCTTCGGCGCAGCCTGTGTTTCCTCACAGCCGCCGGAACTTTGCTCCGAAGTGTAACCGTTTGGTACACTAAGGTTTTGTGCAGTCGTACTAACGACCGTACCACAAGTGATGCCATCGCACTCACTCGTAGTACGTCCACACGCTTGTGGACGCTCCAAGACGTTCATCAGATGGCCATCTGATGAACAAGCGGCAGGCATCGTTACTGTTCGATGTTGCCAGTTTACCCGTGGTTCGTACCTTCTGAGCCACGGTATTCCAAGGATGACATCAAATTTGTCATCCAAATCCAATACGATAAAGTCATCGTCATATTGGGTATCTTCTAGCGTATAGTGGATCTTCACTATACGCTTCATGACGGTTACGGATGCGCCTGTCGCAAGACGTACCGTCATCCTCGTAGGAGGTGTGTCACATTCACTGAGCTTAAAATGACCATCTTCTAGCGATTGGCGTTGCACAAAATTGTTGGACGCCCCACAATCGACGAGAGCTCGAAGGGACAACTTATTTGTCACTTCGAGTTTCAAGGTAATGAGTGAGATCTCATTACCTAGAGCAGCAACGCACAACATTTGTGTGTTGGGAGCAACCTTCATCAAGAGGCCCACAAATTCTCTTGACGTTGCTGGACCAGTAGGGTGCTCCGCACCTACTGATCCTGTCCGTTTGTTGACGGTCCATCCCGTTGTTGCGTCTTTGCACCAACAGCGGACCCTCGTCCCTGCCCCTTTCTCATGGCTGGACGGTCACTACGCCCAGTGTTTCGAGACACTGGACGAGGGGCACTACACTCGTAAGCGTAGTGTCCTGTCTTTTGACATCTGTTGCACTTCTGCAACTTCTTGTAGTCTGTAGAGCGCGCCTTCTCGCTCTCTACATAACAGAGTCCCATCGGCTCTGGGCCTCCGCTGTCATATCGTCTCGGTTGACGATATGATGTCGAGCTGGCGCGAGCCTGTCTCAGACTGAAGTCTTCCTGTTCCGCAATGGAAATGGCTTGTTCTAGTGAATCTAGTTCAAGTCGGAACAGGTGAGTCTTGACGGGACCATCCGCAAGACCCTGCATGAACACCGAAACCAACGTGTGTTCATCCACCGGATTGGAACTTATACAACTCGTGAGATGTCGTATATGTTGCGCGTAAGCGTGCACATCACGCTTAACCTGCTTGAGCTTCAAGAGTTCGGTTCGAGCTCTGAACTCTGCTCTAGGCGGTTCAAACGTTTGTCTGAGCCGCGACTTGAAGACTTCCAACGACCCAAACGCATATGGGTCGTGCAGCTTGAGCCCCAGTGCCCAAGTCTTGGCACGTCCTGCCAGATTTGAATGGGCAAATGCAACTTGCATATCCCCGTCGTCGATGCGACGCGCCCTTATGGCGTCATCCAATTCGACGAACCATCTCAAGAGGGAGTCCTCTTCGACTCCCCTATACTTAGAGATGTCAATCTTCAAAGTCTCGGGCCGACGCGAGTGCATCGACCCGCCAGAAGAAGCCTGCTGCTGTCTCAACAGTTCAAACTGCTGAGCACCCTGTTCTCTCAACAACTCTGCTTGTTGAGAACCTTGTTGGTGAAGCAAGACTACTTTCTCGCGTTCGGCGTCAAGTTCATTTTGAATGAACTTGGCGATAGTAGCATGTTGGGCATCTCTATTGAGAGCCTCTAGCATGACGCTAACAGCTTCGATGCCCATGGTTGAACCCATCCGTTCAACCGCATCCCATTCGACATCGCTAAAATGGGAGTAGCCGTCACGCGTAGCATGAAAGCTTTGGTCATCTTCATCATCCAACATATTCATGTTAGATGTGAACGTGGTCCTTGGACGGACTACGAAGTGCTACCAGGTGTAACGGGGCACCCTGAAGCTTATACTGATGGCAGTACAAGCTGCTTATTCTGACGACAGAAAAAGGCGGTGCCGCGTAACCTCACGTACACTGGTACGTGCAGAGGAAGACGGCAAGAAGAAGCGAGTACTTGGTTAGAGTAAAAAGTAGAACTGTATTTATCATAGTTAATGTCTGTTAATCAATCACTACTTATCCTCATCTAACTATGTCTGAATACAAATGTGTAAATCAGTTATCTGCTCACCAATCATTGCGTGCGTCTGTCGTGGCGCGTCTTCGTTGGTTGATACAATGGCCTCTATCAACCAATTAGGAGCTACTCGTAAGTGCTCCAGAATACTTTGTCTTTATGACAATATTCTGAGAAAGTAACTCTTATAGTTATATTCTATTAACAATTTCTTTTAGATTGTTATGTAACGATTCACCCCGTTACAAGTACGTGCAGAGTAAGCAAATCTACTTGAACGACTAAGATGAGTACAGGGCCAAGAGAGAACTGTATCTATTATGCTTAAGCTATCAATAAAACTTTAATCTTTGTCGAGCTATATTAATCTACATTGTCGTATGACGACAACCTACTCACCACCCGTTCCGCGCGTCTAGGAGCGATTGGTGGTAAAACTGCTTATTATATGTCATTATCAACCAATCTTAGATCAGCGCATGAAGTTTATCTAAAGGGGATAATATCCCTTCAATACTATCCATCTCGGATAATATCGGTAGAATATAGTCATACTAGACAATATTTAATGGACACCGTTTGGTGTCATATTCATGCAACAGGCTACCCTATTACATGTTGGCTCGGCTGTCGGTGATGTTTTGGGATGGTAGACGCTGTAGCAGACACCAGGCATTGTCGGTGATTCCAGACTAGGTCACTTTCCTCGTGCTTGTTCGCGAAGCAATCCCATGTTTACCTTCTTGCGCTCTATTGACTGCTCTCACCCGCTATTCAATTTCTCATGCATTCGCAAACACGCACGTGCCCGTTGCGTTCTATCTGTGTCTTATCGATTGTCAACGACGAAGTTGCGCTCATGTTCTCTACTTCGATCGTCACCTTGTCAAAAACATGATCAGCAATATCGATGTGATCCCAACGGGTGTCTGTCTTGCCCCAGCCTTTGAGGCACTTGCTCAAGTCTTACAAGTTACGAGTTTATGGACTCTTGTCTCAGTCGAACCCGTGGTCTCCAGACAAACGCACGTCCTCGCTACTTGGAACATCAGGTTCGTAACGCAGATCTGTCCTCGTCCTTTAACGTGGTCACCGTCTCATTGCAAGACCTGCACAGTCCTGGCTTGGCAAATGTACCAACAAGCGACAAAGCAACATGTACATCTCCGCCTAACCACCCTTTACCGGACGGACGACAGCGAAACGCGACTCGACACGAGCGCCTGACAGACGGCAAATCCTGTCGTCGAATTGACTGATTGCGCCAATGTCAAGTGCAAGCATGCGATGTGACGCCTGCTCCGTCGTCGTAATCTGGAGCGCAGTTTCCATCGATCGAGGGCATTAGGTAGCTATGCAGCCTGTCGCCGTGTCCTGCAAGTACCATTCGACTCTCTCGTACGTGACGAGCGCAACGTTTCGTTATCGGAGCTTTGATTTTCCGAGCACTCTCTGATCTGCTGTGCTGTGCTGTCAGGCAGGCAGTCACATGTGACGGTGGGATCCACAACATGATTTGAGCAGTCGTGGTTGGAGACCTCGATCTCATTCGATTCATGACCCTAACGCGACCCCGACAAACTTTGATACCCATCGTGCCGGTGTCCAGCCAATGGCCTCAGCATGAGGCGGGGGCTGATTCCGCGAACGCGGATGTCTAGCACATCTTCTATCCGCATTACATACACTAGCGACAGTCCATTCGAGCAATGGTGGAAACGCGTCTTACTCGACATGAGCGACAGCAGACGAAGGACAACAAGCTACCACAAACACACACACGCAGGGAGGTATATTTCTTCCACTACCAACGACCATCTGACAGTCCTTTGTTAATGCCGTTCCTCAGCACTAGTGATAGTCACATCCGTGCGAGTCGCTCGTGACACTGGCTGGCTCCTCGGCCATCGTAGCACCGATTGCGGGCAAGCTGCAGCGACATCCACACACAAGAACCACAGGTCCCTTCGTGTCTGTCTTCCTGCGTCCACTACACCTCCAATATCGAAGTCGAACACCAGCAAATCTACCAACACGCACTTGTCCTTTCGGGGTTAACGGCTCATCACCTGTTCGTCCATTCATCCATTCATCCAGCCGGCCAGGCAGTCAGCCAGCCGTCTCCGTCTTGTGCACAGAACGAAGATTAGGGCTCAGTCTCGCAACATCTCATCCCGCGGGATCCCGCAAACCGTCCCGGGGGATCCCGCAAACCGTCCCGCGCGAGACGCGGTGTAGGACGAGCCTGTCCCATCCCGCGCATCCTACACATCCCGCACTCTATGATTATCTTAGTGCTAAACGTCGAAGATCTATTACTTTTCAACGATCAGAAAATTCCATGGGAACTAAGAGAGCGTAAATGAAAGCCTCATCTATTTATAGGTAACCATCGTCAAATTCGGTATTCATCGTCGAATTCGGTGTTCATTGTCATTATGTGACCGTTCTGCCAAAACAGGCATCCAGGCATTACATGTGCTTGTAGAGAGGATTTGGTTGTCCCTAGCGACGATCCTATGGACATCCTCAGTCTACTGGGGCCTCTCAACTTCAAATTTTGGTGATGGAGAGTTTCTTTTCGTATTAACTAGATTGCGTGAAAGTCTCGTCAATAGATTGGACGATTCCACCACACGTAAAAACCGCTTATGAGCAATCGCAACAGCTTGAAATTTTGGCCAAGATCATGCTTTAAGACGTCGCTTCTCACTAAAATTCTACTGCATTGATGTTGATGCTTGGCATGAACCTTAATTATGTCGTTACCACCACGCTTAAAAGGGCTCTTCTTGCATGAGTCTTCCATCAGCAGCACCGATTAGGATCGAGTGGATAAGGCATTGAGCTTCTACTTTCATCGTAGAGGTAAGAACTAATTGCAAGGAGAAGCATTTTACCGTTTAACTACTATCCTCAATTCTATAGTACTCTCAGCGCACACGGACGCGATCACGTGTCTGCAGATCTGGTTGTTACGAAATTTGTGTCGCGTAAAACGTTCAATGATCTCGTCCCGCCGTATCCTGCGTCCCATCCCGTCCTGCGCAGGTTGGGACGCGGGATAGGCCAATCCCGCTCCATCTTGCGCGGGACAGAGCCCTACCAACGATGCCACAACAACATCCGAAGCGAGTTAATGGGAGCTGCGCATCCTCGCGTGTCCCGTTTAGCGCCGAGCTCATCCGACCGACCGTTCCCCATCCCACAGTTCCAGTGCCTAAGGTGGACAAAACCAGCCGGCCGGCCAACCGACCCAAACGAAGAACCCGCCGGTCATCCTGGCTCTTTTCTACTGAGTGACGACGCCGGCTGCCGTGTCGTGCCCAGCCCAGCCCAGTCAGTAGTCCCCCATCCGCCGCGTTCAACGTCGTCACCCCCTCCCCCTTTCGCCATTCCCCGTCCGTCCGTCTGTCTGTCCTGAATTCCTCGTCCCCTCTTCCTCCCGTCCCCCTCGTCTCCCCCCCACTCACACACGAACGTCGGGCCGTGCCATCCCCACCTTTTAGCATGCCCAAGTCGCTGCCGCTGCCGCCGCGCTTTTTCAAGTGTCCGGAGCTCACGCCCCGTGAAGAGCAGTACCTCGTGGGCAAAGCCAAAGACTCGGCCAAAGCGCTCGTGGACGTCACGCGGAACCACGAAGGCCCCGTGCGATGGGAAGACGCGGGCGGCCACCGCGGCGTGCAGATGTACAAGGGCGAAGCGCGGTACCCGGAGACCGTGGTCGGGGAGTCCATCACCTATGGCTGCGGGGCCACGACCATCCGGTCGACGCTCGAGCAAGTCGCGGACTTCTTTGACTTGAGCTCCGACGAGAAAGTGGCGGCGTTCGTAGCGTCGAGCTCAGAACTGCTCGACGCTCAACTGCTCTACGTGCTGAAGGACCCCGCGCTGTTGAACGAGGACCGTCGGTCGACCAATGAACGGAGTCGACCGAGTCGAGCGAGTCCGAGCAAGCTCGTGCATGTCAAGCAAGTGACGGTCAAGTGGTTCGCGTCCGAGATGCCTTCGAAACTGTTGAAGCATCGGGACTTTCTCACTGTCGAGTGTCAGAGCACGTTCACGGATGTCAGTGGGCGACGGGGCTGGGTCCGGTCGTACCACTCGATCAAACTGCCGTCGTGTCCCGAGTTGAGTGAGTACAATCTCGTCCGGGGCAGTTTCTACCACACGGGCTACGTGTTTATCGAGAGCGAGCGTGCAGGGTTCTTGGATGTGATTTACAGTGTCCAGGTGAACATGAAGGGGAACGCCAAGATCCCGACGCCGCTGTTTATGACGATTCAGAAGAAGCGGTTATGCGGCATTGCTGATCTCCCGAGACTGATCACACGACGGCGATTGGGGACGCAGCGGTTCTTGGGTGACCTGGAGATCGTGCCGAAGAGCCATCGTGCACGCTGTAATTTATGCTCGACCAAGTTTGGGCTGATCACACGCAAAGCACGATGTCGCAAGTGCGGTGAAGTTGTCTGTGCTTCGGCGTGCAGCACCGAGTGGGAAGTCTCGATCCCTGGTCAAGGTGTGAGGAAAGTGCGCGTGTGCTCTAGGTGTGCGCTAAACACGGGCTCGGCCGTGCTTGAAAACCTCCCTGCTAGCGAGCCATACTCGGAGAGCGACAGTGTACAGGAAGACGACGTGCCGGTGATGAGTGTGCGGGCACCAGGGTACCAGTACAACCGGAAGAGTAACTCAGTCTCGTCCCCGCGTCGAACGGGCGAGCCGAGTTCTGACAGCGACGGCGACCGTCGTCGACGCTCTGATCGGCGTGGAGAAAGCTACAACAATGGCGGAAGACGCAGCTTGGATGAAACTTACTACGATGCAGACCCCGAGTACCCTCGCACCGTTGAAATGCCTGGCAGGAATGACGCTGATTTAAGTTTTGACTCGGGCCAGTATACGAACGAATCCGGAGAGCAATTTGAGACTCCGTCATACCGGAGAAGGCGCGACGATCGGAGATACGATCCAAGAAACCCCGATATGTATGACCATCAGACGTACGGCGTGTTGCCTCCTCAGTTCCATGACGAAGAACAGCGGCGAGCACTCCAGCGTCAACAACGAGCTTTGCAGCAGCAACGGAACAAACAAAGACTCTTCCAGCGACAGCAACAGCAGCAGGAGGCACTGATGCGCCGTCGCCAGCAGCAAGTTCAGAATCCTGATGATTTTCAAGCAGAGTTGGAGGATTATATGAGCAACAGCGAATTTAGCGAGTTTAGCAACAGCATCGCGAGCTCGGATACGCCCTCGTTCCTCACGTCCAGCGTACTGGCACAGCACACGAAACAAATGGGAAAGCCTGGTCCAGTTACTCAAGATGAGAGGAATGCAGCACAGCTGGCAGTACAGCAGAGGCGCACTAAGGGTATGGTTACGAGCATTGAATTGGATCTCGCACTCCCCACTTCAGCGCTTGCTACTGAGCTCCGGCTGACTCAATTGGAGCAGCTGCAGGTTCAGCAATGGGCGGAGCAGGAGGCTCGGTTCCGTGACGAGTCCTTGCCGTCGTTCGACTTTGAGTTTCCAGAAAGCCTGGAAGAAACCACGGTACGAGTACCTCGTCATCGGCGAAGCATGAGCTGCGAGAGTTTTGCTACTTGTAGTAATCTGGAGCTTCCGTCGTTCTTTCGAGGTTCACACAGCAGCGCGCTCTCGCAAGGTCACGAAGTTTTGGTTGGTGGATTGGAGCTTCCGCGTGTAAGTAAGGCACGGGTGAACAATTCAGGACAAGAGACGGTGGGCGTTTTGGACGACGAGGACGGAGTGGACAGTTTTGTTGACGGGTTGTCTCTCAACCTGAGCTCGTTACTACGCCCAGAGGACTTGCGTCCTACTGAAGGTAGCATCAGATTGTCTTTGGACTCGTGTGGCCTGGATCAAAGTGTTTCGGGCGACAGTGACATTGTGATCTCCGGCAAGTTTGGGGCCTCGCTTTCAAAAAGTCGTACGGACATATCAAAGACGGCTATTGTGAAGCTGTACCAGCGAATTTTAGAACTGACCGGCAAGCAGCACGAGTTGAAAGCGCAGCCTGAGTCAGACCCCGATGAGAGGAAAGAAATAGCTCGTGAACTCGAAGTGCTATACGAGAGGCTCCACTCAGAGGTGGAGATATAATTATGTGTCTGTCTGTTCTGGCCATGGAAGAGACTGGAAAGTGAAATGGCATGCTCAGCTGTCCACTTGGTAGGCTAGAGTGGACCGACTGGACGCCGAGATATTACCACGGATACTTCCAGGTCGCTGGTGCTCGTCAACGCCTGGATTTGGGCTTCGCCAAATTCGTAGGTGGAAACCAAAACGGAAGTCATCTAGCCTGGCGCTTTGGATCTATATCGTCGTGCAGCAGCTGTGTCTTCGCAAAATCACATCACTATGGGATTTATCAGCACAAACTTGCACCATGTTGTCTTATTAAAACTGCTCATGTGCTGCACAATAAACGTTATTTCCTGTCTGTCCAACGCATCTCGACACAAGACTTATCTTGCTTGAAGCGACCTGTGTTCATGCCAACTGAGTCAGTTGTTGCTGATGCATATATTTTTGCGCTCTTGATTGCGCGTGGACGTCTATCGATTACATGTTAATTTGAAAAGCGGTCCCTCATGGAAGTGTCTTGGAGTTGCGCTGTTCCGGATAGTGCGAGGTCTTTGGTTTCCAGCACTAGAATCAGCTTCAAAAGTAAATTAAAATCGAAAGATTTGCACACAATAAATGACTTGCACACCGGTCGACACATGGGATCATCTTCCGGCCTAAAGGCTTCCGTGACGACATTAGCATGAAAGAGATGGTCAAGACTACTGTAGTATTACTGCGCTCACTAATGCTACATCTGTAAGCTCAAGCGATGGTATCTCTTGATGTTGTGTACCACTAATTTTGTATCCTGTATCGCTTACAAGGTACGATACGCATTCGAAGCGTCAGCCATTCGGCTGAAACACCTTGCCACTTCACCTTTGTATACTTTGGGTCACGTACGTCTGCTCGAAAGGCTGACAACAATCGGAATGAATGACATAAGTGACTGTCGCGGAGAAGGCAAAAGTGATCGAGCTTACACATGATAGTACTCCGTAAAGTGAAGTTTTCGCACGGCGTTCTCGTACCCGCCAGTAGATTTGGCCACCAGTCGAGCGGTGTCTTCTACCTGACAAGGCAAATTGACGGTAACCTTAACGAGATTGTAGCAAGGTGCGGTTGTGGCTTTCACGTCAGCCACGCATTTCGTCATGGCATCCAGAAAGGGTAGGTGGGACCGGAGAGATCGGGACCAAAAGATAAGCTTGCGTCACGCAAAGAAAGTCGAATCATCGTCAGCGTTCACAAGAGGCAGTATGCAGATGATTGGCGACGAACGAGCGTGCGTTCATCCGTCAAATCATAGTCGCTCGTCACTTGTGCGAAAAGACCGGTCCGAACGATAACCCGAAACCTTATTTCGCGCAAATACTTGAACTTGCGTGCCGGTAGAACCCATTAGCAATGCTGAACTCAGGAAATGTGTCGCAAAGATCGCACATGTAGCGAGTCCGTGAGTGTGCAGATCAGATGAGGTCGGAGCAGACAAGTTTGATAGTATTTAAAGGAGTTTACTGTTGTCATCGTTCGTCACCTCATTGAGCCTCTCGTTGTGTGACTTTCCGTGATCGCTTGAGGATGCATGTGATGGAGAACTGCAGCATTCTGTACAGCAGAAATTATGAGCGACAACGTAACGTCTGTTAGGATAGTCATCTTAGGTAGATAGTATGCCTGTGTTAAACTGGCTGAAGGACTCGAAGCGACGAGACGCCAAATTTGGTCTTTCCATTCGTCGTAGCCGGATCTTGTAACATACCGAACGACTACCCACTTCGAAAGCTCTGTTACAGAGAGGCAAGCATAGGCTAGAAAGATCAAATCCATACATCGAGATGGGAATCCGAATTGTACATCGTGAAGTGCTAAGTACATTGTGATACGCGTGCTTGTAGCCGCGGTCGTGAACGCTTTGCCACCTAAGGCAAAAGCCCTGGTATCCTTTGACCTTTTCACCATGTGACATGGCCAGCAAAGTGGAGCGAAATAATAAGGCTCCAAGAATAAGCAGGTAAAAGCCGGAAAGTATCCAGCGATGGCGATCGTGACGGAATTCGTCGTGCTGTCACGCAAAATAAAGCTCCGTCCCGCACAGGATAAAGCGGGTTTGGCCTAACCCGCGTTGTATCCCGCACAGGACGAGAAGTCCCGCGGGACACTGCGAGACGAGCTCAAAAAGTCACCTTACATGTAATTTAAGACGACCAGATCTACTTCACATGAGCGCCTCCGTATGCGCGAGGGTACCAAAGAATGAGAATAATAGTGACACGATACTATGAATCGCATGTGGTCAAAGCTTAGCGAATAAAACAAGTGCAGAAGCGGAATACCTGTTCCACTCGATCCTGGTCGGTGCTGCTGATGGTGTACGTATGCGAGCAGGGATATTTTTAACGTGGTGGCACCGGAATTACAAGACTGAACACATGCATCAACACCGATGAAGTTGAGTTCCAGCGAGCAGCGACGTCTCGAAGCGTGGAAATATTTATCAATAAGGCTCCCAAAAGCGATCTCGACTTTTAGTGGAATAGTAAACCTCTTGATGAGGCTTTTAAGCAACCGAATGACGACAAAAGGCAATCGTCTTCACCGAATGGTACAGTCTCGAGACCTCAGTAGTTTAAGGCTGTATTTCGGATCATCGCTGGGGGCATTTATATGTCTACACAAGCATCTTTAGTGCCTTGACGCATGCTTTAGCAGGAAGGTTGAATTCTGTCAAAAAATAATCAATTTGACATTGCATGTAGATATTAAACGTTGGCGCTTGTATTTCACGTTCTATTTATTGAGTGCCAAAAGACCAATGGGCTGGAGTTTAATCGAATCTTGACGTAATGCACAGTCGTTGGAAGTGGAGTTGTCATAGCGGACACTCTCTTCCAGGTCGACGCCCCAGCTGCCAGGTTTGGTAGTTATAGTGAGTAATTTGTGTGAATACACTAAGCTCTAGAGCGTTCTTAGTTTGGTTAGTGCACGATACAGAAAGATCTCACTTCTAGATTGGATAAGCCACTGAGAAGGCCCACCGCGGGGGGCCGGAACGCGTCTGGCGCGCATTTTAATGCAGAAGTCTTCGATTACATTTCTTTGATTTCCAACAATCGTAATCTAATTATAAAATGCGGAACGTGCGGGATGAGACGCTGTGGAACGAAGTCCTGGTCACGAGCACAGCGGCTGAACACCCACTGGGTTGACGACTGGTATACAGGGGTTTGCAAAAATAGCAGTGAAAATGACACCACGACGTGGCCAGCGCCGAATTAAAAAGTAAAGCTCGGTATCAGTACCAGATCGATACAAGCTTCTCGAATCCAGTGCTGTTCCCAAAGCAGTACTAAATCTTAAATTGTGTTGACCACATTGTTTTCTTGTTTTGTGGCTGGTCAGTCTGAAGTCCCAAGAATGTAACTGCGAGCCCGAAGGGTGAAGCTATTAGAGACTAAGCGCAAGGTTGAATGCTGACCTTTTAAGTCGTACTTTTGTGTGTATCTGTGTGTCTGTATACGACGCAGTTAGGTGCAGCTTACACGTATTATGTACAACCAAGCCTGTCGCCCCTCATAGGTATATCGGCATATCCAAAGTAACTCATTGGCTTGGTCAATATTGTGATGCAACTTGGCTTGAAATCAACCAAAGGTAAATATGATCACATAATCAGACACTAGATGCTCGCAAGTCAGTCCAATCGCGTTGCCCTATCATACTGCACTGGATTAATACCGACATTAACAGCACAGTTTATAAACTGAAATACCGGTATCATAGGGCGAGCTTCAGAGCGCGCTCATCTATCAAATTAGAAATGATATACAGAAGAAGTTTGTCAATATGTCCCACGGAACGGTATTGACCGGCTGAATTGCTGCATAACCAATTGACGTTGGCAATGTCTTAAAATTGCTTATCTATATGCCACTCCTCACGACTAAAACCACGAGGTCCAACGCCACTCCAAACGAGTGCCACGTAAGCGTGTCCTTTTATCTTCCTCGATCGGTGGTGCAGTGTACATCCCTTTTGTAACAGGGTCACACTAGCTATCGGCTAAGTTAGTTGAAGACCTCCCATATGTGATATGGGAGACAAGTTTGGCCTTGGATTTTGTATCAATAGAGAATACCGATTAGTCGGTATTCTCTGAGTGACGGTACTTATCGTGGATGTACTATTTACCGTCATCATTTCATGACTAAGTGATGTGCCAGCCATCCATTTAGTTCTAATACTAATGTGTGTATCAGTTTTAGTTTGTAGAATACAGGGTACTCAAAGTAGGATTTTCCTCGATACACAATCTCAATGGTTTCAGTTTTTATTTTGAGCAGAAGTCCGTAGACTTCCACCCTTTCGCACGTTGCGCTTGACAGTTATGTAGAACTGTCTTGGGTTAGTAAGCCCTAAGACTCCTGTATTCCTCTTGCAAAATGTGCGTATAGTTCCTCAGAACTACTGTAGTCTGAGCTAATAGCTCATAGAGTCCACGCTAGTTCCGTAGAACTAACCGAATCTACAACTTAATACATTTTTTACTTAGAGCTAACCGGCTGCTAGCCCTTACAACTAATTGTCTGCTAGCCGTAAGCCTCTGGATTAACCTGTGAAGTGTTCTTTTGACGTTAGAGCTGTGGTAGCTCCGCCACACCTTTTGAACATCTATCTAATAAAAGCACAGTTTTATTCAGGTTGGACGTAGTATCCTTGATAAGTATCAGTCTTCACTCTATATAAGCGATAGTTTCGGAAGAAATTTTCCAGTATCATTTAAAAAGTCTAATTAAGAGTTTTTTGTAGTATACCTTGTAAAGAGTCTCATACAAAATTCTGATCTCATGCTTTAGTGTGTCCTATATCATAATAACTATAACGTACCATTGGGAAGGACTGCTGGTGACCCGAATCAGCAGTCGATCCTGCTTAAATAGATCCAAATTAATTACCACATGATAAACCTTCGTCTTCAATAAACGCTGCGTTTTTGGCTTTCAGGCATAACAAAAGCAAATCCAAGGGCCAGT